GTTTCTATCGCCAAGAAAAGCTTAATCTTTCATGGCTGGAGGAAATGACTAGCAACTTCATAAGTCAATGTCAATATTTCTAAGCCAATGAATGGTCGCCGCGGTAGCATTCTGGACTTCAGTTATGCTGCCGTCGAACTTTCGCAGAGGACATTCAGAAATAATGTACTGCATACTGTGATCTTCATGACCGCAGTCACGCTGCGGGCTGTACTTCGTCTTCCAGCGATGGAGTAGGTGACCACGGCGTCCTTCTCCCGTTCGAATCCGGTTTCAGTCTCGACCATTCTTGGCGATTCAAATTCATGTCAGAGGGTTCTGTGGTCGGGTTGGAGATTAGGTCTTTGTAGCGTCCCACTCTGCTCGCCATTGTTCCTCGAAACTCAGACGCGGCATCGTTGCTCCTTCCCATAGAGGGCGACGTGATTTAGTTTTTAACCAATGACCAACGAACGAAACTCACTATATACAGATTCGGCCAGAGATATAATGGCTTATTTTCGTGACTACGACCATCGAAATCGCAAAGCGATTTCTATTTTCCATTAAGCATTGTTCCATCATAGCTACCGTCTGCCAACTGGTATTTTTTGTTCAGAAGGTGGAGGAAGGCGAAATAAGTCGGTCGCTTGATTTCTTAGGAGGGGAATTAATTTCAACGGTGATTCAAAATCCTTCCATGTATATTTGGGTATAGGGTATTCTTCTGCTATGCAGATCTGCATTAAGAGCACAAGATTTTGTCATTGTCTGTTGCAGGAATAATTCAGCCATGCAAGCTTTCGTTTTGTGGGTGTCTGCAAACGTCTGTGGCTATTGTTGCAGAACTCGGGTACCCACTCCATCGAACTTATTCGTGAAATGCGGTGACGTACTATCATCGCTGTTCGCCGTCCGTGAGGATGGTGCAAGATATTCAGAGAGCAGACGGACTTCATAAACTTGAGTCAATTTCTGACTTCCTCTTTCTCTCAGACTCTTCTTCTGCTTGTACTTCCTGATGCTTACTCTCTATTTCGCCCACTCAACCCGTGTTGAAGTCAGAACGCGATGTTCTGCTGCGTTAATACGATCAGTAGCCCGCTACCGTACCAAAGTGTTGTTTGATTGGTTGTTTGACAATCACAGATTCCTAACGGCATGGCAGCAGTTTTAGAACTAGGCTGGTCTTACGGTAGTAGAAAAAACGCACGCGGTGGTGAACGGAAAGGCCATCCAGCCAAAGAACTAGCGAGAAAGCACGAACTGCTACACGAATATTTTCTTTCTTCTCTTCCATCGCTGTCGTCCCCCTAGACGATTGGCCAATAAGCTGAAAGCAATGGATAAACGCGTTCCACAAATCTCTACTAGGTGATTCATTCACCCGCACAGAGAAAGCAGCTCTAATAAGGGAAACCATTCAGAAGAGCTACTCTGCGCTGACAGATCCACCTTTACTCCTGAGGCAACAAACACGACTAATTGATTGAATGATCATCGAACAATGCATTTAACATCAAAATTTAATTGAGGACAAATCTGTTTGTTTTCGTTTTTTTTACCATAGCCCGAGTACTCTACACCTTGAGTAACAGCGATCCATTGTGCTTTTTGCAAATGCAATTAGGCCTCTGACACCAATATTCATAATTCTAACGCACACGTTTCCAATTTCTGCCGTAGTATGGTGACACACTCATTTTTCAAAGTCAAGGATACCAAACCGGTTCGGTGAAACCTTTAGTAAACGGTCAAAAATTGGTTGTGTTGTCATAATCCAAGTCGTGAATTTGAATGAAGGATACCGGAAACGCAATTGTTATTCTTGCACTCTGTTCTGTTTTGTCTGATGCAGATAAAAAGCATCATGCTTGAGTTATGTCACTCTTCATTTCTCCCGGTCTGATGTCTTCAATATAAAGTGAGCGGTACCTCGTTTCGTTTGCTTTCTAAGTTGACCTGACCAACAGTATCTCACGTTATCGACATTAGGACATTTGTTACCCATGACTGCACCAGCAGATATTCATAAACAGTGCCAGCATGCGGTACTGCAACGGGTCAGACACTAGCCTCCTGATCAGGCTAATCGAAAGATTGATTTGATGTACATATCCGTTACGTACATCTACTGAAGCCATCTGTTTACAGGGTCGGACTTTTGTATTGCATTGTGTGATTAAAAGCTCCAGCTGTGTCATCGCTACTATCATACAGAAAGATCAGTAAGCACCCTTCCTCCTACGGCAAACCCTCACGGCCACTTGATTCTAGAGAACTGGGGGGAGGAGGGAGAACGTGTAATCAGGCCAAGACTCGGTGGGACTTGAGCACCTTGGGTGCATCGAACTTCATTTGGCCAAAGAATGTGCGTGATAGTTTTGGCGAGAGCTTCTCATTTGAAAATGTATATAAGGTCGCAATTACAATACCTTTAGATTAAGGAATACAGCCGCTAAGGAGACTCGTTGTTAGCTCACAACTGATCGCTGACGCCGTATGGGATGTGTCGCATATATGATACAGTCAATCCCTGTGTACCGTCCTAAACGAGGACAAACAATGACTTGTCCGGTTTGTACCTCACTACCAACAGATTATTCACCGACACGGAAAGTACTTCTGTGTTTGGAAAAATCCTTTACAGTGCATCTTTCAATCTTCGAACAGTTTTTAACGCCCACCATTCCTACGCCGACTCTGCGATAGTGAAAAAATGGCCCCCGCTCTGCCAATTGGGCAAAAAACTAACTCCAAGGCTGAATTCTAATAAATGAGGTGTTAGATCCTCGGTCTGTCTCTGTCTCTTGCTTGCATGCCATGCCGCTTCACAAACAGAAACAGCCTTACGAATCTCTCGGTCTTATTCTATCTTCCACATGTATAAGAAGCATGGGAAGTCTAACCCTATCGATTTAAAGATGGAACGACTCATGAACTCGGTTATCTATGATTGTTCTGTTATTGATCACCACTACTCACACTTATAATCACACATTGGCTCCTACATGCTTCATGCAGGCTTTAAGTCGAGAGCCTTAAAATTCAACTAAAACCAGCCATCAAATACGTGATAAAAACATAGTAGGTTTATTCCTGGAAAGCAAGAGCTCAATGCTAGTTCCCTGCTGATGCAGTTGCGTGGTTCTGAAACCCTCCAAACAGATTTTAAATTCAATCTGTAACAGCTCAATTATTCGAATGGTTCAGTGCCTTAGGGCCCTGCAAAAGTAGCGGCTCACCTATGGCAAATACAACTCACGATAGCCACTTCGCAATTTCGTCTATTTTAGTACTTGTGGGATTTTGAGTGATTTACGCAATGCGCTGATGCATGAAAAGCTGTTTTAAATTACATGCTGAACTTCAGGAAGTCGCTGGGAAACTGGACATTAGAAACGTGCCCAGAGGGAAGCAAATATTCACCCGTGGATATGACCTGCAATCCTCCCAAACGATTGCAGAGGCGTCAGGTTGGAGGATATCCGTCGAATACGGTATACCGCTTTCAAATCAATATTTCGTTTCCCAGCTTAATTTAGATTTGTTTCAGTACCAAGTAGGAGCAAATGCCAGAGGCCCATGCGTTTGCCCGTACCAGGGCAGTTCTGGATATAGCTCCCCCGGACAGAGCAGTGGTTATGTTAGCAGCCCTCCTATCAGCGGCTACAACAGTAATCCTCCATACAGCAGTCAGCGCGGCTATCCAGGTAGCGATCAAAGTAAATACCAGTCGAATCAGGGATACCCTAGTTCTGGTTCAGTGGGATATCCAAATTTAGGATCGGGCGGATATCCAGGTACCGGCTCATCAGACTCTTGTCCGTGCATCGTTCAGCCTCAGCCTGTATCACCACCATCAATGGGATCAGGTCCACCTTACGGAGCTCCTGGATCGGGCGTTTCACAGTTAAGTCAGCCGTATCCACCAGTGAACAACGCCATTTACCCTTGCCCAACTGGTAAGAATTGCGATGTTGCAAGTTTCGGTAAATGTTAGCAATTAAATTCAGTGAGCAACAATGGAGTTCCGGGAGCACAGCCGAATGGTACTTGCAGCTGGATGCTCGCCGAACTGGTTGCAAATCCGATGTCAAGAAAAACGTATCTTCAGTGCGTTCCGGTACAGAGCTACCTTTACTGCGGCCGTTGGATGGTTAGACCATGTGAAGAAGACCTCATTTTCAACCCTAGCCTACAAGTCTGCGTTCAACCTGATTATCAAGGTACAATAGTTGAATCGTACACTGTCGCAAGACTGTTATTAAAACTTTTACAGGTCTCGGTTCTTCGTTAGGAGCTGGTACTGGAGGGTATAATACAGGTTTGCAGGCTCCGAGTCGAAATGCACCTTATCAGCCCGCTCCTTCGTATGGTGCCGGCGGAAGCGAATGGTCAGGAGGTCAAACCTATCAAAGTCCAGGCCAAGGCTATTCAAACCAAGGCCAGGGTTACCAAGGCCAGAGCCCGTACGGAGGCGGCTATCCATCAGCAAGCAGCGTGTCTTCAAACGCCCTTCCGTCTTACAGTCCCCCGGCTCCTATGCCATCTTCCGTTTCAGTTGGAGGAATGCCTTATGGTCAGCCGTCCGCATGGTGTAATCCACAAAACATAGTTGGGCCATGTAACGTTTTCAACGCCTGTCCCGGATTTTCTCAGTGCATGGCTATCTCCAGCTACGCTGCCAAAAATGACGTACCGAAAAATGGCGTTCACGGTACTTTGGTCTTGAAACTGAAGTTCGACGGTGAAGTTCAGGAAAACGGCGATGGTGCTTCCAAAACCAACCCGAACACAATCTGCTGTTCGGCAGTAGAACCAGCAAAAAATGGTTATTAAAGAAAATAGACATGTAAACTTCATTCTGACGCGACAGCTGATGTACACCGTCTGCGATAGTTATTGTATCGGTAATTCATTACTTAACCTTGCCCACTTTAATCACGTGTTGGTTCGAATAAATGCTCCAATATTTTCAGTTTCTGTGATTTACGAATGTTAATTGTGTAAACGTGTTGGATATGAGGGTTGTGCCAAATTAACAATATGCATATGTCCAGTGTTCTGCAATGTCAGGGGGCGGAAGTGATGCGGAAGCATGCCCAGTAGGTTGAGGCGGTGTTGCCACCCGTCATCATTCGCCAGTGACATCTTTACGTGACCAAAACCTCACGAAACACTCTTACTCTTCTCAATCCGTTAAGCTGAGTCAGCATTGAAGTGATGCTGGCAAGAATTCATCAGGACTGACACTCCTAATGGACCGCCAAATAATTTTCCGCTATTAAAATACTCAAAAATAAATGCCAACAGGGAAAATATGAAATAAGCCCCGGCCACAGCGTCGACCTGAACAACACGTACACCTCCTCTTTTCAAGAAGGCAATTCCGAAGACCTCCAGAACTATCGACCGATTACAATGTTCACCTAAATCTACAAACTCTTCGACCCTGTCATTCTCAACCATATTCGGGAGAACCTTGAACCAATCACAAATCACAAACAGGCTGACAGTAAAACACTGTTTTCTACCTTTGACCATGAGCACAGGACGAAGATATGCAACAAATCGATTGCAAGAGGGGGCTCGGTTCGGCAGAAGTGACCGTTGTGCTAAACACGTTGCTTGAACGTGGTATAAATTCCGTTTCTGTCAACCAGATCGAAGAATTGAGCACCGCTTGCACGACCGACATCAAGCTGTTCAGCGATCCATGCCGCGTCTGTATTCATCGAAGATAGCGCCAAAGAAGTATTATTTTGCCTCCGCTTTTGGCCACGGCCTTTGAGTCACCGTTTAACGACTGAACTACATCAGCAGTGATGGAGAGCAGCTAACGCTCTTGTAACTCGTGGCGATGGCGTCGTCGATTAAATGAAAATGCGGCTCATAGACGAAAGTAGCGCATGTCCCAAAACCTGCCGTCTTTAACCAAATAATTTGACTCACAGATTTCATCGTCATGTATTTTGGGGCCATGCATGCAGCAGGTTTGTGCGCACCAACGCACAACCATGGAAACTGTGGGTCAAGTCGTTTGGCTGAAAAGGGCTGACTATTCGTGTCAACATTCAGCACTCATTACAACAGGTAAATATAGAAGTGTAAAAAATTTGAGGAAGGTACCTTCGCAGGTTCAGCTGCTTCCTCATCATCATAAAACGGCTTATCTACGCAGTTACTGAACTAACCTCGCAGATCCACGTGTCTAACTGCTGCCATTGCAGAGGGAATCTCTATGACCCTGAGATGCTTGAACGTTTCTTCCTGATCCAGCCACAATACGTTACTTGCATAGCATAACGAATGGCTTTGATCGAGAGTAAAAAACCGTCATATCTGTCAGACTTGTTTCACCCGACAGTAATCCGTCTAAGTACCTGTTCGAGGACAAGACGCCAGAAAGCTACCAGAATGAGATCATCCAAAAAACAGAAGGTGATTTCGTCTAACCCCATATTCATTATTCAGTTTATCCTGTTAACAAACAATCAGAAAACTTATGAACTAGAAGAACGAAGTATTCATACAATACTTTATCAGTGATATCAGCAGATGGAAGGAAAGGTAACACAAGCTGGAGAAGTTTGGTTCATTAAGGGACAAGAAAATAAAGAGAAATATACATTTACGAAAACAAAACGCAAACGATAAAACAACCGCACTACCGCGAAAAATGCAGCGCAGAGGTTCTTCGACACAAGATTAACAGCACACACTGAGCTTAAATTCGTAAATGCCTCAATCGGTCTTAATGAAAATGCAATACTACATGTTACTATCATACTCTGCCGCAAAACAAGAATTGAAGCTTTGTCCCGAACCCTCATTTAACCGCTTAATGCAAGCATGGAACTGAACTGAGCGGTTATCATGATATGCATAGACAGATCTGGGGGCGAAAGATATTTTAG